CACATCTGAAAAAAATCTTTTTTGTCGCTGATGCGTCAAATTTGGAAATGTCCTCCACCATAGAATTTTGTGAAAGCTTTGCTGGGGCCTAGAATGTTGTAACCTTGATCAAACTACTTTTGAGCAAACGTTGACTGTCCCTCTTCGTAGAATGAGCATGCTCGATGTTCGTCATTACTTGTGAAATGTAGACACCAAATGCTGGAGCTGCTCGACTATAGCTCGACATAAGTCGTCCCTCTTGTCATAGTGTTTTGTTGATAGTGGTTGTGACTGGTTTTTTTTGTCACCCTGAATCTCTATGCATAGATCTAAATATGAAACATATGAAGCAGGTTTACATGTCTCTTTTATTTCTATATCACCTGGGTAAATCACTTGTGTATTTCACCATTATTGAATGATGTTAGATCATCGACACACATCCCGGTTAGAATTGCCCTTCAGCAACCCTTGCTTGTTGTGAGAGGCGACTAACAGGATCGGGTGGTCAGGATCGCTGACTTGGTTGATGCATGTCATCGATATCGTATCAACGTAGTCAGTGTTAAACCGACCACCATCAACTCGTACATATTTTGATTTGTTAAATATCTCGGAATATATACATCATAGAAAGGTAATACATTGATACAAATCCTAAACTAGCCTAATAAATATACAATTGACATCATCGTGTGCTGGCATGAAGTAATTATGACGATTTTATGCTGGAAAGCACCTCGTTTTCGACTCGTCGCTATCGCGCCAGATGGAACCAAAAGTGAAGTAAGAAATATTGAACTTATTATTGAATGTCGTATTCAAATTATATTTGACGATTGTGGCCCGGAAGCCCTTCGGTATATGATGTGTGTTAGATTTAGTTCAAATTATTAAGTTAAAGGGTTAAATATTTGCATTTCCCCAAAATCACATTTATTACTTTCCAGCGAGGAAATGGTACCTGCCACCAACCAATATTCGGTTTGGCAAGGACAGCGCTTACCCCCTGTGACAATTTTCTCCAGATTTAATTTCAAAAGACAACCTTTTACCTTATTGTAACAAAGCATCGCGGTTTGAAACTAAGTCTAGCCTTTTCTCCTTTTTAAAGACTTAAAAAGAAATAACTTTCAACCTAGGAAGATAGTTTTATAGCTAAATGCGGTCTAACCTTGTGTTCCCATGTTTTTTCAGGTGAACAATTGACTTGCCTTTGCGTGTGTTTGTGACGGGTGCCACCAGTGGGGCAGGATACGCTCACCTTTTCGCGAACACCTGGTATCATAACTATTCGATAGCAATTCATAAACACATGCACATGATATAGTCGGAATTGTACAATCGACTCTGCTTTATGCAGAGATATCTATTGGATATAGAAAGGGTTTTGTCGCTTTATTTATGTGTCTTAATATACTATAACCATCACCAAGCTTTATTGTTTTGCAAACAGGATGTGGTGAATTCAACCAACAAAAAACGATATTGACCATGGTTGTTATCTCACTACTGAAACATAGGTCAGGAGCAAGGTCCTTGCTGGAGAAGTCTTTTGTAAATGTATCACTATTGCCTTACTATATTTCATATATAGTCACTGCACGTGGGGAATTTATGACGTCAATATATATACATGTACAGACGTGCTATTTGTCTGACGTCCACTTAATCATCATAGTTACTTATAAACAGGTGTATCTTACTAATGGAAATGTTGATGGACCTAACCGACACCGTGACCCCAAACGTCTTCCTTGGGATGTTTTGAATATTCTTCTGTATTCGGGCTAATATACAATTGTTGGGTACATATGCGTACATTTCAAATTTTGTTTTTCTGGAAATAGTATCACTTACAGGTTTCACTCATTTTTATTCCAATATATTTAAGTGTGTAAAAACAGTTATGCTGCTTATAGAAAAAAACAAGAATTATTGTAAATGTACGCATGTAACATACATCCCATAAATAATTGTCATTTGAAATAAATTCAATTAATTAAATGATTAAAACGGAGACTGATAAAAAAAATACGCGAGGACACAATTTCAATTGATGATTGAGCGCAGGAAAATAGAACACAGACCGACATATATATCTGACGTCATCATGTCCAGCTGTGGTCAACAAACACGCATGACCAGCTTGGGGAGTGTTCATCGTTGCCATGACAGATCACCTATCAGGGGAGAATGTAGTACCTCCATGTAATGACGTTGCTCTCCATCATCAAGCAGAGTCATCGTGATAGCATTCTCACGGCAATTTCGGTTGGAGTAACCGAGGCCACAGTGAGGTCAACACAATAATTCTTCCTTCCTCATCATGTCAACTGCGGCTGTGTTATAGAGATACATTACAATTGCATGCCCGTGGCGCGTTCGGTTGGTGTAACTAAGGCCATGGTGAGGCCAAAGCAGCCACGACAACTTTGTGTTCGTAATCGTTAATTGTTAAATGAATTTAATACCGTAGTTTCTGTGAGTGTGTCCGGTAAGTGGTTGTAATAAATGGTCGAGATTCGTTTCACGAAATGCTACTTAAGACTAATATTTCTTTGTTTACTTAATGCGTCATTGACACAGAGAAGCCGTCTGTTGACTAGTGACAATGTATGGGTGACGGTAGTCTGTCTTAGGGACCCTGATACAAATATATCAAATACAGCCCATGCAAGTCCATAATGTTTGGCAAGTCTAGATTACTGCAGTATCAGGCGAAAATGAACAGACTCTCAGGGCTCATTTTAATTATATTTTTATGAAGATAATTTAACAACTGTTTGTATTCTGTGCGATATGTTCATTTCAGAGACTAGATGTAAGTCTAGGGTGACGGGCACTGGTACTCTACATGATCCAGCTTTGCGGTGTGGGTGACAAGGCTGGGGTATTATACTCTCTGATTTTGAAGGTATCCACATTTTGACTGGGAGTATATATCGAGTTATCCATTTACCCAATGGGAGCGTCAAAATAACACAAAAATTGTAGTAGTATTCTGTCAGAAACATAATCGTTCAGAACGAAATATCGACTTTACCGTGTTCCACTTTAGTGCCATTAATTATAGTAATTCGTTGAATGTGTTGATTATGTATATTAGTTGTAATTCTGATGAAAATTAAGAAAACTGTGGACAAAAACGTATTTTTTTATATGTTTTGTTACTGCATCATTAGGTTTTGCAATGATCTTACATCATTAATAATGTGAAATAAAATATATATGTATTCATATATAATACATGAAAATATTTAATGTCAACGCCAGTGAATAACTAGTCTCTATTATCCATCCGCCAAAACAGAATTCATTGGGCGTATAAGACAAAACTGAAGTGAAAATGACATGAATGGATCACTGAACTTCCCTACCAACAGCATTTATTGCATGATAAATCTCTATGCAACACCGAACAAAACATTGCCTTCATAGTTTTTAATAAAAGCGTTTCCACAATGATTTTAAATTCTTTATATTATTAAAGTTAAAAAAAAGAGACTAAAACGTGAGCGATATTCATTATTCTGGGATATTATTTGATGAGAAACTTACGGAAGCCTTTTAGGGCCACTTGTGTTGTTGTTGTTTGTTTTGTTGTTGTTGTTGTTTGTTTTGTTTTTTTTGGGGGGGGGTCAAAAAAATTAAATTCAACAAAGTATCTTGAAATTTCAAATTTCAAGAGGGGGGATGGGTATGTTTCCCTGATTATGGGTCTTGTTTTGTCAGCACCATGGGTCGTTGGTTTCATCGAAGCGGTTAACGTCTGAGACCTGCATCACTTCGGGCTTTCCTCCCACATTAAGCTGACACGCCGTGATATGACTGGAATACTGTTAAAAGCGGCGTTAAACCAAACACACTCTCTCACTCAAATTTCAAGATGGTAAGTTGAAATTTCAAGATGCTGTGTTGAAATTTCAAGATAATGAGTTGAAGTTTCAAGTTAAATATCAACTTATTATCTTGATATTTCAAAAAAATTACCTTGAAATCAAATCCTTGAAATTTCAACTTAGTACAAATTACAACTAAGCATCTTGAAATTTCAAGATACTAAGTTAAAATGTCAGGATAATAAGTTGAAATTTCAACCTATTATCTTGAAATTTCAAGATTATCCTGAAATTTTATCTTAGTGTGTATCTTGAAATTTCACTTTCGTATCTTGAAATTTCAAGAAAAAAGATTTAAAAAACAAATGGCCCTAAAAGGCTTCCGTAGAAACGTCCCTCCCGCCAACAAGAAAAATGTACAGGGATGAATAATGCTATCCGGTTTATTTTCAGACAGCAGCGTCTTTAAATAGACAGGTACATATTGTTTATTGCCAGGAGTTCATTTCGTGTCACGCGCCGCGTCATAAAATGTCTATATTTAGACCTCTGACGTCACTGATTAGAAAGCGAAATGGAATGTTTTGTTAGTTCGTGATGTAGTCTGTTACTCTATTTAAATTGTTAACGGAACTGAATATTTATATCAATATGTACACTGTCGGATTCTGTCTGAAGTGTGTCAGAGCGCGATTCGTAACATGCACGCAAGGCTCGATAAGTCAAGAAATATACGTTTCATTTACACTGATGTCGCCTTGGCATATGCTTGGACATTTTAATCAAATTTATTCAGGGACGTATCGAAATTATTACGTTATTGCGAATCGATGAGACACGTTCTGTCAAATAGTCATATTCTGAAAGGGACAAAATCCGATAGGACTATTTGTTTGTTGTTCAACGTCGCACTCAGTAATATTGCAGAAGTATGACGGGGGCCTATAAATAATAGAATATGGACCCGACAAACCAGTGATTGATGTTGTGAGCAACGTCCGGATCCGAGGTCGGGGAAAGATGTCACTCAATCAAACAGATCACCGAGGATGACCCTTCCATCCATTAATATAAGTCGCCTGTTATAACCAGGCTACAAAGGAAGGTTGCGGAAGCCCTACTCCTATCAACAAATATGGCGTGTGAAAAAATATTTTACGGTAAACAAAAATGGCGTGTGAAAAAATATTTTATTTTTCAAATTGTAAAAAAATAATTACACTTTAAACAGAAGAATATCACAGACGTGCTTGTTTCGGTAAAGAGAATTGTAACTGTTATTCCGGATTCACTGTACAAATGGTGAAAAGTTATGCATGTATCACGCTCCTGAAGCCATGGTGCTTAAAGTTACCCGCCCTTCATCATACGGACGAACGCAATGGTAAGTTGATAATGCCTGCATTACTGGTAAAAAAGAGTGGACAAAAATATGTCCTTGTCGTTATTGACTGACAACTTTGTTCAAACATATATACAACATGGCATTATTGAAATATGAGATTTCACATACATCTCGTAAAGGTCACGAGAATCAGCCCCAGGGTCACGAGAATGTAGCTACAGCGACTGGAAATTCCTGCAAGACAAAAATCAACATTGAAAAGAAGATTAACTATTTAGTGGGTTATTGTACTTGGGTTAACCCGCTTTTAAACAGTGTTTGGGTGACTAGTATATCACGGCGTGTCAACTAGATGAGTGAGACGAGGTGAAATGGGGTTTAAAGTCGCGTCCAAGATTATTGAACTTATATAGCGACGAGCATGCACGTGTGTCACTAGATGTGCGAAGGAAGTGATGCAGGTCTGAGACGTTTACCACTCAGGTGTAACCCACGAGCACGGGGATGGTGCTGACAAACCTAGAAATAGAATCAGGATTAATCTAATTAAGTTGCGTTTAAGGCCGCATCGAACAGTAGTTCATTTATGTCACGTGTCAGCATGATGTGGGAGGAATGTCTTGGAACAGACTCCCCATGAACATTTTTGGCAAGCGCCTGTCCCGGGTATTCACACAAACCTTAACCGTTGCGGGGCTTCTCCAACAAGCAAGTTTTTGTTTGTTTTGTTTTTTAACGTGTACAGTTTTACGTCTCAGTAAGGCAATAATCCGCTGTCAACCTAATCACATTACTTGACGCACAGGCATCTTTCTTGTTTCATTGTATCAAGTGTTTTCACCTTTTCTTCCTGGCTAATATTTGTGTTTTTCAAAATGGAAATTCAAAACATTCAAGAACATTATAACCTCGTTAACTCGAAGTCCGGATCATCAAAACTATGTCGTGTTATCCGTAGTCTTACAAGTACACAGGCTGAGTCCATAAAAGATAGAAGATGTTGCCGAGACCGTAAAATAGTATAATATTGTATTAATCAATATCAGGAGTTAAAGAGTTTGAATTAATCTAAATTGTATTACTCGACATAAGCATCTTTTATTTATTTTAATTAGTATCAACCGTATTGAGCTGACAGAGTTCAAGGTATTTAACTTGCCTTATTCGATATACGGAGCTAAAACATTTCGAGTTACTTTTAATTGTATTATTCAATATTAGGAGCTAAAACATTTTCGTCAAATATGAAGTTTTTCCTAAACCTGAGCTTGTGCTCGGCACTAAGATACACTGACTCTCCATAACAGTCCATACCTCCGTCAAAGGGACTGGCGATCACACTGATATCCTCCTCTTGTAGGGAAGACCTGGAGTTCAAGGAAGACAACTGAGTGGGGCCCAACTGTGCCTTCTGTTCCTCAGTCACAACATTAGCCTGGTCGCTGCTCAACAGTTGAAGCTCACTGGCGTCAAACACCTAGGGCAGACAGATTATAATGTTAGGTTCCAAACTGTGATTTATTAAAAGTGGATTCGGGACTCTTATAAAGGCGGGGTTCAAATACTTAATTTCAGTGTTGGCATGGGCTGTTCAAATTCTCAATGTACAGTTCCGCATCCTCGATTATCCAGCATATATGTCGCCCTTCTATTAGATATATCATACCATGCAGATGTTATACACTGGATAATCGGGTATGCAATAATTGAAGTAAGGGTGGCCTCCAAATGGTATGTCAGCTTAACAACACTGAGCAAAGGAGATATTCATAGGTTGAAACCATATTGAGAATCAAACCCGATCTTCAGCTTTATCATATAATGGGTAGGTTTCTCGGCAGGATAAAGCCAACGGATAAAAACGATATCCGTTGGGGTCATATGCGGATAGAGATGCAAATATCAAAGGTCAAGTAGGGACTACTTTCACTGTTTATAAACAAACATGGCGTCGCCCTCGTCATTCGGCGATCGAGTCAGAATTAACCATCGGGAATCTGGATAAACTACAGTCTACAGTCTTCTACCGGAATAAGTCTATTTTACAGTGTCAGCCCATGCTGCAGTCTAACATGAATACCCCATTCATACGCAATATACTGAATCCGAGCCTATCAGTCCTTGTTTCAGCCCCTTAATGCCGAGCGCCAGGCAGGGTAACAACAAGTATCCTGATTAAACGTCCATGGTATGACGCGGTTGGGGATCGAACCCCGGACCTTTCGCTCTGTGCGGACGCTCTACCACCAGACCGCGGGCAGGTAAACATTGTATAAAACCAGTGCGAGTCTGCCTGCCTGGTCCTAGATTCATTCGTGAAGGTCACTAATCCATGTGACCCGTGATCCGGTCTTCAGATGCCCATGCTTGTCGTAAGAGGCGACTAACGGGAACGGATGGTCAGGCTCGCTGACTTGGTTGATGCATGACATCGTATGCGTGGATCGATGCTTATGATATCAATCACTGGATTTTCTAGTTCAGATTCGATTATTTACAGACCTACGTCATAGAGCTGGAATATTGCTGAGTGCGGCGTTAAAAAAACAAACAAACAAACAAACACTAATCCATGTACCACAATACAAAGTCTGGGGGGATCCAAGGGTTCCACAGATTGTATTTGATAAAATCCACAGGCGCTAACACATCATGAATAAGCACTTGTATGGAGACTCGAGACAGTCCGAGTAAATCTAATTCACATCATTCAAAACCCACGTAGTCCGCAAATCTAACCTCACAGCAAATGATGTCTACAACACGAAAGAATTTAAAAAACACACCAGATATTTTCATCAGACTTTAGATACACTGTCCTTAATTTAGTACCTAAATTTGACACTAGCCACTGATTACAACATCTAGGCCTACACCTTGAACGTTTCACAAAGCGACTGTAGCGCTAAGTCCGTGTTAAGTAAAAGAGTTACGATAGCTCTGGCGCTGCGACCGCATTGTGAACATGATCATGAAGTCCCCACTGGTTTATACGGAGGCCTTTAGGGCCATTTGTTGATAAGTTGAAATTTCAAGATACTAAGTTCTAATTTCAAGATACATACTAAGTTGAAATAAGACATTTTAAGATTATAACTTGATATTTCAACTTAGTGTCTTGAAATTTAAAGATAATGAGTTTAAATTTCAAGATTCTAAGTTTAAATTTCAAGAAACATAAGTTACAAATTCAAGATACTATTAACTTGAAAATTCAAGATACTATTAACTTGAAAATTCAAGATACTAACTTGAAATTTCAATATATCATCTTGAAATTTCAAGATCATTACCTTGAAATTTCAACTTAGTATGTATCTTGAAATTTAACGTTAGTATCTTGAAATTTCAACTTAGTATCTTTATGATATTTCAACTTAGTATCTTGACATTTCAAGTTAGTAGCTTGAAATTTCAGGAAAGAAATAATAAAACAAATGGTCTTTAAAGGCTTCCCTAGGTTAACGTACCTCGGCAAAAACTTCGGCCGGCATACTGTTGATCGCCTTTGGTTGTAAGTTGCTGATTTGCTCCGAGGTCAAGGTATTGAGCGACGTGGACGGTACCCCACCTGGAATCAGTCAGTGAATAATACACTAAGTGTACAGCTGCGTTATCTGATTTACTAATTTATTCAAGGTGCAATTTTGTTAAAATATCAATCACCATTTCGTTTTTGTAAATTCACCATTATCCAAAGCTTTGGTCCTTTTCAACGCCTGTGTAACCCCTTGTTGCTAGATTTATATGACACGACCAGAAACGTGTTGTTTATAAAGTGATGGTGATGTAAACGTGTGTTTAGTTGAGACGATTCCGTCTTTTGCTGCAAGACAAAAACTAGAAAAATGGTTCCTGAAATCGTTTGGACCCATTTTAACCCTACATGCACACTTGGTGTTGTACAAAATACAGACGTGTTGAAAAGAATAAAAGTCGGATTCTTATTCATTTGAACACATCAGATAACTTGCCAAATGATTTCTTTTTAGCCAACTCAATGAAAAAGGCAAAGCTCTAAACTGCTTTTTTCATGGAGTTGGCTAAAAAGAGTCCTTAATATCTATTCCCATCCTTCGCGATTGTGTTGTGTACTATGGAAGCGAAGTCACCCACTCGGCTCGTCTCAGTCCAACATTTAGGACCTCGGCTTACACTGGCATAATCCATATTGGAACACGTCTCGTGCACACGACACCTAATATGATATTCAAATTTTGTTCGTATTCGTTTGTCTTCAAATCAAAGTGCATATATGATATATTATAGAACAGAATAACCTGTTTCACCTTTGCGATGTATGCGGTGGGATCTGGCGTTACACTGTTTACTGATAACTCATGCAATATCACAACACCACTGCCGCAGGTATTGTGCAGGTAGCGGAATAAGCCGAGTGAATCCGGGTGTATACTCACCCATGCAGACACCCATAGCATCCACGACATACGGGTCAACGGACGCCCAGTCGTTGCCAACAGAGGCTGCGATCTTGGTGCCAAAAGCTTGGAGCTGCTCTTTGCTTAGACACGCAATGTGACAAAGGTCTTTGGCAGCTTTGCTGAATAGAAAATATACGCGATGAGAAAACATGTTCCTGTGAATATCAATCAATATGGCTATGACACTCAAGGCTTCTGGGATAACAGCGTATTTCTCGATTAGGTCTTCAGGACTAAAATCTGTTAAGTTTATTTACAACTTACGTGAATCTATCGATTTATCCTTATTTAATTTCCGCGAAAGTGCACACAAGAGCATAATATTAATTGAATGTGTTTGTCTGTTTGTTTGTTTGTTTGTTTGTTCAACGCCGCACTCAGCAATAACCCAGCTATATGACGGCGGTTTGTAAATAATCGAGTCTGGACCACGCAATTGGGATACGATGACATGCATCAACCAAGTCAGTGAGTCTGACTACCCGATCCCGTTAGTCGCCTCTTACGACAAGAACAGTCGCCTTTTACGACAAGCATGGGTTGCTGAACACCTGCTCTACCCCGGATGTAATTGAAAGTAGACATACTTAAAGTAAAAATAAAAATATTATATACTCCCCAGTCAACATTTCAATTTTTCTTTTAAATCGTCCTTCGGTTCCAAATAGACGTGGGGTGGTTGTTAATGCGTTCGCTCGTCTCGCCGAAGGCCCGGGTTCGCTTCCCATATGTGTGAAACGCATTTCTAATGTACCCGGCCCCGCCGGTATTGCTGGAATATTCCTACTAGCTACCAAGCCGGACCCCGTCCACAACCCCCGACCCCCGACCACCACCCACATTCAACAAGACACCCTGGCTTACTACGCCTCATCCTGGTTCAAAGCGTCGATCTGAGCAACAGTGTAGCCACACAGTAGGTTCCCCATCTTCGACAGCGTGCTAGCTGTCAACGTTGACGTATCACTGATGCTGTTGTCAGTCAGGTAGGAGCTGACTATATCCGTCCTCTATGCAGATCAAATGCTTTATTAAACGTATGGTTGTATACTAAGTTATACAGATATTATTTGTACTTTTGCAAAGTAACACAAACGTTTACACTCTTATAAACTGACGTCCAAAAGAAACTTTACCAACTGAAAATATAAATTCCAGACAAAGTTTACATTTTTTTCCGTTGAAATCTATCTAAAACACATAACCTAAATACAACAATAGTGTATGCAGAAAATGTTAATCGTCTGTTACATGTTTGCGAGATAACACGCGAAAAAGTGAAAAACACGTGCACCACGGACAACTGCAAATGCACGTGCGGGTAAGGGTATAAAACGATTGCAACGGCAAGTCAGGGACTCAGGGCTCATGGAATCAGGGCTTTCAGACCATACAGAGGACAGCTATTGACAGCGCAACATCGTCGTCTGCGATTGAGATTGGCCCGGACTGTACGACGTTGGCAACGACGTGACTGGCAGAGGGTTGTCTTCACTGACGAAAGTCGATTCTGTATGTTTAGGGCTGATGGAAGACAACTTGTTTTACCGCCGAATGGGTGAACGAACGGCGGCGTATTGCGTGCAGGAGGTCGTACCATATGGTGGAGGGAGTGTTATGGTGTGGGGAGGGATCTGTGGGCAGGAGAGGACACCGCTGGTCATCGTTGACGGAAACTTGACAGCTCAGCGTTAAATGGATAACATTCTTCGTCCAGTTGTCCTACCATTTCTCCAACAGCAGCCACGTGGTGTCATTTATCAGCATGACAACGCTAGAGCCCATACAGCCAGTATTGTCACTAACCTCCTTGCAGCCAACAACGTCAACGTCAACGTCCTGCCGTGGCCTGCACGCTCACCCGACATGTCCCCTTGGACTTGATGGATCATCGTGTTCGACAACGACCACACTCTCCAGCCAACCGGCAAGAACTGATCTTGGCCCTCCAAGACGAATGGCGTCAAATCCCACGTGACCTCATCAGACGACTGACTTTTTCTGTGCGTCGAAGAGTTTTTGCGTGTATTGAGGCATTCGGTGGTCACACACGCTACTAATGACTTGTTATTGAACGTGAGCGATTGTTTATGTGCTCTGCCTATTGTCCATGATTCTGAAAGCTCGAGTTTTGTACCACACCCAACTTTGGGGGGCTCTGACGTCATTCTCGGTCGCGGTATGATTGTCATTTTCAGTGTTGATTATGTTGATATATTGATCTTCTCAATACACTTTACATCATGCATGTATGTTTCGTTGTTTTTGAGCAAGAGTGATTTCAAACTCTGGTAAAGTTTCTTTTGGACGTCAGTTTATATACAAGCGGCAAAAGGTGACTGTGCTTCACATAAAGTGGGTTAAATGTTATGTTATTGCAAATAACAACATCATATTTGGTCATTCGTCGGATCAATGTTTTATCATAACAAATTCATTGACAAACCCATTCATGGTAACAGGAAACAGAGACACGCCCTAAAAAAAGGGTTCGTGAAACAACTCAATTGATAAAGTCAACATCGGGTGTAACCACCATTTGCGTTGATACAGGCCAGGCAGAGGCAGCGCAATGAAGACACCAGATGAAACAGCCTGGGATATGTTGTTCCAAATATCAACCAAGGATTGGTCCACCTGAGCTGACGTTAAAGGCTGGTTCAGGTCCTGTCGTAGACGTCGTTCCATCTTATTCCAGATATGTTCTATGTGGTAGATGACTGGGGTAACAGCCGGCCATGGCAGTGCAGTAATGTCACATCACGGGTATGATCCTGCTGCAAGGTGACATTACGTTCCTGCATTTCCACAAAAAGGTAGACACGGTCTCGAACGATGTCTCCCAGGCAGCGTGGGCCATTTAAATTGGCATTAACAATGATGAGTAACGTATGCCATGATGCCATCCAATACCATTACACTTCCACCACAACTGACAAGGTGAGGTGAGGTGAAATGGGGTTTAACGACGCGTCCAAGATTATTGCACTTATATAGCGACGTGTGTGTGTGTGTGTGTGTGTGTGTGTGGCTGCTTGTACTAGTCCGGACTGATGCCGATTTATAGTGCTAGCTCACTGATATACCATGCCGCAGTTTAAAATGAATACCCCACTCAGACACAGTATACTGACTCCGAGCCGACCAGTCCTTGTTTTAGCCCCTTAATGCCGAGCGCCAGGTAGGGTAACAACAAGTACCATCTTTTAACGTCTTTTGGTATGACGCGGTCGGGGATCGAACCCCGGACCTTCCGCTCTCCGGGCGGACGCTCTACCACTAGACCACGGAGGCGGTGCCCACAACTGACGATGTTTACACCATACTTAGCGTGCCTGAGGGTGACGTGTAAGAAAAAATGGGCAAAATTAGGGTCGGATGGTGTGCTCCCTCAACCGGTTGTGTGCGGTTCTGCCACTCATTGGTCTCAACCCAGGAATTGTTCTAGCTGTTAATGTGGCACTTGGGTATCGATTCCGTAGATGCACCAAAAGTATATATTTGTCTTGTTGACGTGACGTCACACCGGACAGTGGCAAGTCATGAGTGTACCTGCTGTACATAATATTCCCAAAGAGATGAAATTGTGTTTCGATGGACATTAAAATGTCTGGCATCTTCGTTTTGCGCCATTCCTGTTTGCATCATACAAACGGCGCGTGGACGTTATTTTCAGGAAGAGTTGACATTTTGTAAGCATTATTTATGGTTGAACAAAAGTGTTTTAATGAGCACCTGATTGCTGAACAATTATTTGTGCTGTTAACATTCAACAACCGCGTGTGTGAGTATCATGCTCCCAACAAAAACGCAAACATTCAAATTGTGCGCCGTAGATCACGTATGAATCACGGCATTATAGTCGAAGATGCATTTCATTTCAATTTGAGAATATTTTGATTGAGTTTTATACGAAGCAGTTACTTTTTTCCGCTTGTAGATAAAGTCATATCATATTTTATCAGAAAATAATTTTTCAATCATTATTCAATCAGTTCAAGAGTTCAGGACCACCCGATTCTTTCATATTACTATAGTTAATCTGTCATGGCCTTTAATTATTAATCAAAAGGATTGGTGGCTACACGCCTAACGTACGAATTCGGTCTTATTTTTTTAGTCTTCGTAATATAGATAGAATCATATTTTATTGCGATCCTTGTCAGAATATTTTAGCCTGGTTGGTAAGGTTGCTCCAGAGAGGGAAATGAGTATGCTCAATGCATGGCAACCTGACACACACCTCACTCTATTTTCTGGTTAACTTTGTGCTTCGGATTATTACCTTCGAAAGGTTGATGTGATTTATGGCAGCCATGGCTTGTTCGTTGAAGTTGATGGCCTCAATATCCGATGCAGGCAGAGCGTCGAGGAGCTTCCCGCATCCAGCAATATCCCCGTTCTCCCAGGTGGACGGGTCACCTAGACCATCAGCCTGGACACAGAACACAGCTCTGATCAGTCACATGTGATATTATACAATTTAAGACCTTTCAACAGGTCAATATCTGTTTTATGGACTCGAGAAAAACAATATTGGAAAGGTTACAAAAATGGTATATTCATATCTTTATTCTATCTCCCAGTATGCATTTCCTCTTTCTTTTTGATCCAATATGGAAACGTGCTTGAAAAAAGTGTCCAGCTTCTAAAGACCAAGTCACCCGAGCACATCCCAGCATCGCCATAGGCCCCACCAAAACAAATGGGTCACGCTTTGTAATCCCATGCCTAAAGCAACAGTGAGGGCTAAGGATTCGCGACTTGCGGTGATTTGGATGTTGAAGACCGAAGTCTCTACAGACAAGTTATCCACCCTCAGATCGGTTACTAAATCTGGGACCCCAACTAATAAAATACAATAAACTCAGGAGCTAAAATTCAAGGATTTATTCTGTATGTTCACAATACGTACTATGAAAAGAGAGGAGAGGGTACACGCATCGACTATCAGCGCTGTTGTGTAGTCGATAGCTGCTGTTCCAGGACCAAGAGACCAAACTGGTGAAGACAATGGACGCCTGTAGCGGATATTTCACGGAGATAGTGGGAAGCGAAGACCTATCTGACTTCCACAAACACTCTTCCATAATGGTGGAGAGGGTGCAGTTGCTGTGCAAGGCCATGGTAGAGGCGACGAATTGGGAGGTGACAGGAGGAGGCAATCTAGCATGGTAGAGCAAAGCCAAAATGATATCGTACTCCGGGAAACTTCCGTTGTGGCCGCCGTAGAATGTGGGATGATGAACCTCTTCCGGGAGCTCCAAATTGGTCTCCTCAAGGTAGATTCGGAGTGCTCGTACCAGACATAAAGAGATATCCGCAAGGTCAGCAGGGCTCAGGATGGACGCTAGTGACAGGATGGTAAACAAGCGATCTGGTGGTCCCGGAAGCTGATTTTGAGTGATATATTCCCAGCGAAGGCCCAGAAAAAACCTTCCCATTCTGAAGCCTCTCTAACCTTATTAACACCCAGAGCAGCAGTCGCAAGGGACAGGATAAAAATGGTCTTGCAGGAGATCAACTGAAAACCTTGTCAGCAAGCGGTTTATACTCTGCTGGTGTATGATGACGTTGAGATCCCAAGGAGGCGGGCATAAACGAGATGACTGGTCCGCCAACTTGTAGGACCGAATAAGGGACTGAAGCTCAGCAACTGTAGATATCTTCGATCAAGTTGCAGTAGCAATAACGGGTCGCAGCAAGATAGGTAGCCAAAGTAGACCCCTTTAGCTTGCGTGTAGAGCAGGTAAGAGATGATGGAGGTAGTCGGCGTTCTGTTGAGAAGCAGTGGAGGACTTGGTGATGTCACGAGCGCGACGGTAGGCCTCAAACGCTTTCCACTTGCGGTCATTGAGGGTCTCAGTAGAGGAACAGTGAGCCTCTGTGATGGTCTTGGCTACTCCCTTTGAATACCCTTTGCAGGTGTGGCGAACACAGAGATGGATAGTTTCGGGTGATGGGTGGAGCAGCTGGGAGCGAGGCTGAAGGAGTGTCCCGTAGTGGAAGACGGTAGAACCTTCTTTCTGTTAGTTGCATCAACGCGGTGAACCAACAGGGCATGACCAGGAGCAATGTTATGAGACTGGTGGATGCCACTTTCTGCAGGACCCGACGTAGAACAGCGGTGGAGGAAAAGGTGTAGGCGTTGACACCTTCCCACAGGTCATCAGAGCATCGTGGTCCCATGCTTGAGGATCTGAGATGGGAGCGATGAACCGGGAGAGCCTAGCATTGAACCTGTTTGTGAAAAGGTCTGGGCTTGGGTAAAGTTGGCATATCCAACGGAAGATCAACAGGTGGGGATGTCATTCCGTTGGTGATGGTCTGCTGGGTTGGGATAGTGAGTCTCCTATAACATTGGTGATCACATAAAATGTGTCTCGCTCGAACCTGAATGGGAGCCCATCTTGTTGATATACCCGATGGCCAATAGATTGTCCGACTTGATCATGAGATGGGACGCACGAAGGAGCTCTTCCCAATGTGACATGGCAGAATGACTTCTTCGAACTAGAGATTGTTGATATGGATATCTTCAACAGACCAGCACCCTGCCACCTGTAGATCGTGGAAGTGCGCTCCCCAGCCCAGGGTCAATGCATTGATGAAGAGATGTTGGGTCAGGAAGAACGGCAGCAAACAGACGCCGGCACAAACATTTGATGTTAATAGCCACCACCGAAGATGGTAACACTGAGGTATTGCCAGGGAGATTGGAACCTGGCAATCGACGCTCTGAATGTAGTGAGTTAAGAATCACTGGATTGGCCGAGGATGAAGTTGACCCCTCACAGTGAGGATTTGCCCGGATGTCAGAAGGCCAAGAAGTTGTTGCCATTGACGTAGAAGGAGCGGATCATCCAACGGCGTCTTCGACCATCTCCACTGTGGAGGAAGTCATCAAATGCTTTGGACAAAGGGTCAATAAATCGCCATCAAGTTCCATCATGTTCTTCCACAACAAAGCGAGCGCTCTGTAGCCAATTGTGTAATTGCCTGAAAGACTCAAAGCCTTGACGAGGTTAGTCACAATATGTGTCAAGGAGGGAGCGTGATGTTCGAGAAACTGGCGGAGGGAACGGCAAAGCAAGACAGACGATCATCAGCTTAAGTACTACATTGGAGCTGTAGTTTCTCCACGTTCCAATGAAGATCGGGGATCTCAAGACTCCCAGAAGACGAGGTTGGAGAGGGTTGATGATCCACATTGATACTAGCCGGTGCAGGATCAACATCTGGGGGAACAGAAACAGCCAAACTAAGAGGAACAGTTTGTGCAGGAGAATTATCAAGAGGGGATACCAACCATAGCCTGGAACGATTCTGCCAAGGTCACTGCCTACAGGAACGATTCTAGGTTCGGCGCCGGATTGTTAGCCTGGTCAGTAGGTAGCGTTGGGTAGCGGCTGTGTGGATGGAGGGAGTGTCACACGAGGGGTCGGCACAGACGAGGTTGGAGGAACATGAATCCGAAGCGGATAATGACAATCGGGACCGAATCAGAGAATGGCGAACCACATGAGTGACCGATGGTGACGAACATCTTTGAGAAGTAGAGGGAAGTCAAGGCGCGTTGCGGCGATGTCAATCAAAGGGTTGATCCCGATGATGAGAGCAGTAATAATCAGTGCATGAAGAATTTGAACCCTAGAACGTCGATCCCCAAATCGTCGATCCTGAGACAATCGATCCCGAAGTCAGTGATCTTTAGATGAGCAATCCTTAGGAGTCCAATCCTTAGAGTGCCGATCATGCAATCGACTCTTGAAAGTGTGAACCCGTTCTATTAGTACCAGTGGATGTCTTGATTGTCACCGTCGAGTGGAGCGCCAGTATATTTGGTTGAAGAGGAGCGATCGTCATCAACGTGTACATCGCGTGAATGAGCAGGAAATGAAAGCCGACTACAACCGGACGGTATAGGGGCACTGAAGGGGTCGATCGGAGACGTAGTCGAAGCAGGTTCGAACGAATCGACGGGGGAAAACACCATGCGAAAGTCAAAGGTACCTGGCAGTTTCCACGTAGACGTGAACCCGTACGTTACAGGGACGGACTGTTGATCCGGCATAGTAAAGAAGTCGTCGGTAATAAAACCACGGATATGGCAGGCAAGGCGGGTTACTGGGGTGGTTTCAATGTAACGAAGAAGGGGACAGCCGGCTTGGTTTTCGTCTTAGTTTCATAGCAGAAGCTTGTGCATGCGCGAGTCCTTTGATTTCGAGCGCCGGTTAATCTCTCTTCTATGGCACTTGTGTAAATACATGTTAAAGGAATTTTCCATCAGATGTTCACAAGCTTGTCAACACTGCACCGGCCACGGCAGTCACAACATAATTCGTAATCATCATCATCATCATCCCTCAGATTGTAACATAAATCTATACGATGTTGGAGGAGATCCAGGAAAAAACGAATTAAAAAGTATATTCTTTAAATTACTCAGTGCAGGTCTCCACTGTGTGGCGATGAGAAAGAGGATGACGTGGCAGGGGTAATTACGTGACCAGGTGGTGTCGGTGGCTAAATACGGGACTATAGTGCATGACCTATTTGTGTGGGTGGTGACCATGGTGATGTTGGGATGTGTTTGGGTGATTTGTTTTTTAGAAGCTGTAAACTTTGTTCAAACACGTTTCCATATAGGATCGAAAGAAGAAATGCATCGTAGGAGATTGCCCTATTCTCCATTATATAATAATATACAATTATAGACTTTTCAGGAGGCCAATACCTGTTTTTATGTACCCGAGAATAACAACACTGACCAATATTGGGAAAAGAGGGGGAAATTCTCCATTATATAATAACAGGTGTTCATTATATGCGTCTGACGGTTTGGTGTTCAACAAATTGATGATGGATGTGGTGATGACGAAGATACAGAACATGGCTGCTGAGGATATTGAAGAATACGAAATTGTTGCTGATGATGTTTAAATTAATGAGTTCAAAACGTCAACGGCAGAGAATAATCAATCTCGATCATCTCTCGAAACAGATTCCGTATGATGTAAAAGACAAAATAGTGGTGCAAATTACATGAATGGATCAGTGAAATTTATTGATGGCACCAGGGGATCGCGAAAAGAGATTTTCGTAAATAGAGGATAATATCTGAGTGTTCATGTCATACTATGTTTACGACTGTCTAAATTCCGGTATTTAGGCACGTGTGTCCTAAATATAGTATGGCATGAACACGAATATAATGTTCTATTTATTCCGAAAGAAGATGTCTTAATACAGAGACGAATTTTAGTGTTTACCTAAAAGGACAGCAAGTTACAACAGCAGCGGAACCACAATTTGTCCAATTACTTCAGTTATGACGTCGTCTCTAGTGTGACGTAATTCCGACCTCACGTCACAATGAGATTCAAATGACGTCAACAATGTCGTCCGGATGACGGAAACAACACACTGTTGTCTCGTGACGTGATATGACCCTAGGACACATTTGACTTTTATTAACCCCGATATGTTTTCCCACGTAGGTAATAAATGTATTTATCATGCCCAGTAAACTGGTACTATTTTGTGAGGCTTTGTTTACCGCTGTGAGTTTCCCTGCCAGCACAACGAGGACATCGTCGGAGAGTGAGACATTCTGGAATTCATCCAAACAGTCAACCAGGTCAGTAGGGGTCATATCCTGGACGCTGCTCTCAGTCAGGAAGCCCAACTGCCCTTGGAAGTCCTTTAGCACAGTGCATGTGCTGGTACTGGTGGCTGTAATATAACACACATGTCAGCACGGTGCAGGTACATCTTCCAAGGGAAAGGGAGTTAACTGACTGTAAAGGTCCAGTTTCCACCCTTGCCGAACTAGGCTGAAATTTCGTGGCTAGATCTTAGCGCCACCAGTGGCGATGTCTCTTCTTTGTCCCTCCTATTGGCCAATCAGATTCCACCTTCCATATCACTTGCATTAGCTTCAAACAAAATGGCGGTCCCAGTCAAGACGATCTGATCGATGATCCGGATCGTAATTTTATTGAAATGAGTCTTACCTCGCTCAAATCACTTAAGCCCCTTGGTTAAAACATGAAAAGATTTCGCAAATATCTGTCGATGACCAGTGGAGGGTACTAATGCTCTGCAAAACATGTTATCGATCAACATCTGCACGGCGGTCGCCATGTTGTTGTTACGCGAATTTGATTGGACGATGCATAGACTCGTTAGTCCAGCCAAAGTATATCTCCATAATTCCAGCCTAGTTCGGCAAGGGTGGAAACTGGACTTCAAAAGACCACGCATTCCTAACACACAATCTACGTTCACGGGTCTAAAGACCATGCATAACTAACAAACACAACACTCGACGGTCTTAAGACCATGTATAACTGACACCAACATTAACAGACTCACCGGCTCTCCTCTTCCTTACTCCTGGACTGACGGCCTTGGAATATAGGTACAACCCTAGTTTTTCCACGTTGCTCGCATACTCCTGTCTTTGACTTTTGCCTATTTCGTTCTCGTTAATCGTCGCCATTTCATCGAGAAAATTCGAGATCTTGAAGAATATGTTGTAGATCGTATAGATTACCATGTCTGTCTGGTCCTGGACAAACAAATCCATTCAGAATATAGTTACTGTAGCAAACACGTTACACAGAGATTATCATGATGATGAGGAACATGTTTACATGATAGTTAGCAATATTACAAAATACACTGCCGGACAAAAGAAAGTATACAGCCATGTTTGATGGTGGCTAAAAATTAAACAAACAAGAAATGGTTATTCCATAGTTATGTTTTTTATACAGACATCATAGTTGTATTTTGGACCTTAAATTTTCAGTGTTTTGGCGACTGTTTTCAGCCTAGTTACGCTTTGATAACGTTTGTATTGTTTTTGGTCAAATCCAGTTTTCAAGTGTATACTTTCTTTCCTCCGGTAGGTTACATCCAGGGAACCTAAACCAACTGAGTCTTAACCAGATAAACTAGTGGTTATTAGCACGAGCATTCATTCAGTTGCCGTACGAAATTACACAACAATCAGCCAAATCAGCCACTTTTTAACAAACCGAACCCAACTGCAATATATTACGCTGCTCTTAGCATTATTTCAGCAAAATCACGACGGGGACACAGGAAATTTGCTTCAAACATTGTACCCATGAGGGGAGTCGAACCCGGACTTCAGCGTCACGAGGGAACCAATACGCTACCCTATCGCCCTGGAGCTTAGGACATGCACATCCGTCAATAACACTTCTCAACGATACCATTGAGGGAATGTGGGTGGCAGGGGCTGATATTTCAGTTCTATCACGGGGTGTGGGTGTTGCTGGGGGTGTCAGATTAATGTGGCAGGCAAGCGTAAGTTCTTTACCGCTTTGGTGAAACCCACGAGAAAGAATCAGAATCAGATTCGAACCCGCGATCATCGAATTCTAGCACGCCAAATAAACGCACAGCGAATTGTGGTGTCATCGACTTACAATTGTCAAAGCATCGTTGATGATGTCGTCGGCAATATCAGGCAGGAAATGGCCTAAAGCCGTCATCATATCGGGTCTGTCGTACAAGCTGTAGCCGTTCCTGTTGAGATACAGAAGTCGTTATCATCAGAGTCAATTTTCGACCAGGTTCAAGTTATGACAAGTTTTCATTTGGTATGATATAAACAGTTACAATTCTGACACTACTGTATATTTATATTTTCACTGCCGATCAAAAACGAAAAAAACTTGTTTAACTAAATCTAACCCCAAAACCAACAACACCTTCTTCGAGTGAGTGAGGGAGTAAGGCTTACGCCGCATTTGTAGCAATATTCCAGCTACTTTGAGCAAATAAAACCAACAAAGGACTTCACAAACCTATAACTGTTTTCATTTCGTTACGTTAACAACAGTAAACTACGATTATAACGAACATGCTTATAACGAGCTGACGGATATAACGAACTGAAACTAGTGGTCCCTTTGAGTTCGTTTGAACCGTAGTTTACTGTATTCTGTTTTTTCACGCTGATGACACTTACTGTTGAAGATCCTGCTTAACCCTCCTGACAATGGCGGCCCTTGTTGGACTGTCGTAGTGAATGCACCGAGTGACCTCCGTCAGGTACTTGGACAGAGCTGAGGCGGTCAGCTTGGATGCCTGGCTGGAGTCAAGGCCACACCACATGTAGGGTCCAAACCTGTCCAAGTCCTCGTGTTTGTAGCTTAACGCGTAATCGATCCCCTAATAATATACACAGAATGTCACAAACAGATGTGTTTGCTTACCATGTGACACCTCACTGTGCTAGTAATATGATATGGCCTGCAAACAATCGAGTTTGGACCAGGTAATACCGTGATTGATATTATGAGCAACGTTCCACGCAGTTTTGGTACACAGTCAACAAAGACACTGATACACACCACTATTGCACTAGCATAGGTTGCTGGGGACCCGAATGTATCAACTCAATTTGTGTCTGATGGTTCTGCGAACGCGTGTTATATTCTTATTTGCCTGTAATATTGCGCCAGTGTAGGATTTGAGCCGCGGTGTCGGCGTGATCTTAATGAGCTGGAATCTTCAGAATCTAATCAATTGAAATTCAAGATAAATAAAGCATAATGTTAAACATATATGTTTCATACGTACGTCTACTTTAAGCATGACCTTGGTGAGTGACCTCATCTTGGCTGGACTGAGGAATTTGACGTACTCATACTTCTGGCCGATGACCCTGAGAACTGCTTTGAGGGAATTGAGGTTCAGTTTGCTGAGGTCGCTCACACTAGAAGTACACACAAGAATGCATAAATTACTATCACACACAGCGGAATGAGCATCACACTCAGCGGACTTACTATCACACCCAACGGAATGTGTATCACACCCAGCAGAATTAGTGTCACACCCAAAAGAATTAGTATCACACCCAGCGGAATCAGCATCACACCCAGCGAAATTATTATCACATCCAGCAGAATCAGTATCACACCCAGCAGAATTAGTATCACACCGAGCGGAACCAGCATCACACCCGGCAGAATTAGTGTCACACCCAGCAGAATTAGTATCACACCAAGCGGAATCAGTATCACACCAAGCGGAATTATTATCACAGGAGAAAGGAAGCGGCTTTTTAATTATGCAGCTTGGACAGTTATGTCACTGCAATTTAGCTAGATGTGTGAAACCCAGTTTGACGATCAAACACCAAGAATCATTGTGTCGTATCTTTGATCTGGGATGATAACAACTTACCTTGCACGTGCAAAATACATTCCGACTTCCTCGGCAAGCGCCGGCTCTATGCATACTCCCCGGCTGGCACTGTTATCAATGCCGAACACTCTCTTCAGCTTGTCAAGAATGATCTCAATCTGTCAACAGGTGTTGAGATATAATTTTGGCTTATGTTGCTCTGGGAAGTATCGAAGTAAATGGGAAGACTAAGGCAAATAGACCAAAATACACCTAACGTGTAGAATCAAATATGTGTCATCATCAATATTGTATCAACGCCTGACAATCTATCACATTATTTCAAAATATAAAAGAAATTATTGTCTGGCGTAAGACACAAATGGACGAATTCAACTTTATGTAGTTTCTAATATGTATGAAACCAATCATCGTTGGTTCGAATCCCAGATTCACCTGAATATGTGAGGTTTGTCAGCACCATACCCGTGCTAGTGGGTTTCACCTTTGGGCTAAACGTCAGGTCGGGCGTTTCCCCTGCATCACGCTGTGCACGCTGTGATATAACGGTTACTGTTTAAAGCGGTGTAAAACAACTGACTCACTCACATGTATTGGTTTGAGAAGATATTTTAGGCCCGTGATGGCCTGTGATTCCCTAACGCAAGTTAAACAAGACTGAAGAAAGGCAGTTTTGACACACAGACTGTCTTAGGCTGATGAGGTAAACCTATTCGATTACATAACAACTTTAAGGGAACCTTTTTCCCTGACATGGAAGATATGTGGTCCGCCATCTGATTCAAAGCTTTCATCAGTCCGTCGCCTTCCGGTAGATTAATGAAGTCCTCGGTAGATGCTCCTGCAGTGGGAACAATGCTTTGACATTACTGATCTGCATTGCCGGTCGAGCATTAGTGGTCAGCCATAATAGGTCAGACATTTCTTGTCGGGTCTTCCTGGTAAGACATTACCCTTGTTACAAATTATAACAAGAAAATCTCACCAATGTGTCTTATCCATGCTGTTTCTGTATTCTTAAAACGTGTCTTTAAAATGAGGAATGTGTAACTAGATTTAAGATATAATCATGTACATCACGTGACAAATATTAATATCCAATCTGCATCGTACTGGGCCTTGATGCCTAAATTACTGAATAAACTGTCTGTCTGTATTAACGTACGATAGATACAGCAAATGATGCCCTGGCTATTCTAGTTGTTTGGTGAAGTCAAGAGGCTAAAGATTCTATATATTTTATTTTAAATAGTAACGACTAACCAAGGGCAAATACCGCTGGCATTGCGGCGATTTTCTCGGAGCTGTACTCAATGTTGCCACTGGTGACACTCCCGTACGCTTCCGTCACCTTCTTCCACACCATGGCCGCCTGTAAAGGGAGATAATTCAAAAGGCGTGATTAGATACTTTTCGGATTTGGGTTAAAGGTATCCAACAAGCGCTCTTTCAAAGCGCTGATTGTTCCCCCAGCAACTTAGATTATTGTGCTATGTGTAATGTCAATTGGGGTTTCTACACAGGCGTCTTAACTGGAGGATATAAAACTAGTCGTGTGCACAAAGGGAATTACATTGTGACGTTTTGGGGTCACATGTTCCTTTAGGTCTTCCCAGCTCCTTTTGTGTATTATTGTTCCAATGTTGAACCTTGTCCCGATTTTGATCGTCCTTAATGTATCACAAGACATTATTTTGACGTAGAGGTCTCAAACTGTGTGAACGAGAGTAATGGATATCCTGTGTGATATAAATGAGGCAAAGGAAAGGTGAGGAGGCATTCAGACATTAACGAATATAATCGGGGAGTTCCGAATGTAAAAACATAAAGCAGACCTATTGTATTGTTATGGATATATACATATTAAACATCGTGTGGTTTCTGAATGCATGCAGCCTACATCCAAAATGGTGTACTACTGAGGGAAAATGTGTGTATTTTGGCGGTTTTCTTTCGCTGGGCTCGAATCGACGGGTTTTTTTGTGACAAAGTTATGAAGCCGTGTCGTTTTAGAAAGCTGACATTTGATTGGCTGAAAAACCCACGCATCCACTATTGACCTTTTATGAAAATGAAATCCTGACGCAGAAAGTATTGTATCGGAATGACAGATTCCAGATTGGATTCTAGACTGACTAAGGTGGTTTCGCTCTGTAAGAGTTGCGTTTATATTATTAATATAGAAAGAATATTAGCGGAGTACATGTTGTATCGTAAATATCATATATTAAAAATACAAATTGTATTTAGTCAATTTATCAGTTGTGTGATATTTACGATACAGAAACACACGCGGATAAACCCTTGATCACAAATCATTAATGTCATTCTTAAAATAATCCAAGTTAAAGACACTTTAGTTCAGAAATAACTTCGCAACCGCGTAAGAATACAAAGCCTGAGTGAACCGCTTCCAGTATGTCAAATGATTTGCTGGCATGTTTGTTTACATACGAACAAGGAAAGCTGTATCTAAACTAGAACGTTATGCAATAGTTCTTTTACCAAGTAGACATCACATTAATGTCAATCTCATTAAAATTAGATCTTAGTTCTCGCTACCACTAAACAAAGATCTGCGGACATTCCATTGTGGGTCATGTCAGAACGACCTTTCATCCAACCAATCAGAGCACCGCTTATCAGATCATGAAAGTGACAGTTGGAATGTGATTTTTTTTTATCGTGCAACCTCGAAAAAAACACACACAGGGTATTCCGAACGACAGTTATAGGCTTTATGTCTGTATTCATACAATCTAGACTGTCTATTAGCCATTCCAGAATGTTCTTTTGTTCAGTTTTTATTTTTTTAATCGAGTATATGTCAAAATATGTTTCGAAGCGTAATCGCCAGATTGAAAGTCGTGCCGTAAAGCTCGATTAAGCTACCTTCTGATTGGCTGTTGTCGTCTTCATAGTCATTCCACTGGTCGGTCACCGTTCGCGAAAGGTCGGTCTGACGTGACCCGAAATGGGATGTCCTCAGAACTCATTCGTGACCATTCGTGTTATTCCGGGTCAAACTTGTAGGTTACGGAAAGGGGCGAGTGGTGACGAATGCTCAGAACTTTGTTTCGCGGATGCGAGAGCTAAGATCTGATTTTAATGAGACTGCATTAATGTATAGATCCAACTGATGGAAGTCACTATTTTGGGACCTCATTTGCACATTTTTTTTATCGTGATATACATTTATTGATTGATATAACGCATCGATAACAATATCCATTACAGTAAACCACGGTTATAACGAACTCAAAAGGGGACCACTAATATTAGTTCGATATAACCGTAGTTCGTTATAAGCATATATAAGCATATGTACAGCAAATGGCCGGGACAAAAAAAATGTTCGTCATACCCGTCAGTTCGTTATAAACGTGTTCGTTATAAACGTAGTTTACTCTACATGATATATGACTATCACAATTACCACTAATAATGATAATCTTTTGTCAGTTTAGTGTACTTACCATTTCTGTGTCAACAGGCAATGAAGCCAATGACGTTATCTCGTCGAGCTTAATATCAGCTGGGCTGACGTCATCTATCGCCTTCATGAATGTGGAGCCGAACTGCTCGAGTACACTGCTCAGGGAGCCGCTTGCCTCTTTCATCTGCAAGAGGAGACGCATGGAGTATCTGCTCATACGTTATCAGCCATACTTAGTATCTCTATTTCTTTTTGAGTGTTCAACATATTTTTACTCCCTCGGGTCGAATCTCTTTGGTATGTATAAACCAATAATAACCAACTTTTAAATAAGTTTGCATAAAATGCTACTAACACGTCCCATTTTAATTCTGGAAACCCAAAAGTCCAGAAACTCTACGCTCTTTCCCCAGTCTCGGTTAAAGGTATTTACAAAATTAAACATGCCGTTTTCATGGGAACATACCAAGGAAGAAAAAATGAAAAAAAAATTGTTTAAAAACTCAATATTTAGACTATGTCGCCCATGGGCCTGCCCATGGGCCTGCCCATGGGCGAAGTCTGGCCCATGGGCAGGCCCATGGGCAGGCCCATGGGCGAGAATATGTTCCTTTACTTAAAACTCATGTTTTTGTTTCGCAAATACATTTAATGTATTCATTGAAGTATCATGACACAAAATTTAACTCATTTTAACTTAATTCAACGATTTTATAGCGATATTGAAATATTTCCCCCATGGGCGAGAAAAAGGTTTGGCCCATGGGCGAGAATATGTTCCTTTACTTAAAACTCATGATTTTGTTTCGCAAATACATTAAATGTATTTATTGAAGTATCATGACACAAAATTTAACTCATTTTAACTTAATTCAACGATTTTATAGCGATATTGAAATATTTCGCCCATGGGCGAGAAAAAGGTTTGGCCCATGGGTAGGCCCATGGGCAGGCCCATGGGCGAGAATATGTTCCTTTACTTAAAACTCATGTTTTTGTTTCGCAAATACATTTAATGTATTCATTCAAGTACCATGACACCAAATTTAACTCATTTTAACTTAATTCAACGATTTTATAGCGATATTGAAATATTTCGCCCATGGGCGAGAAAAGGTTTGGCCCATGGGCAGGCCAATGGGCGAGACCATGTTCCTTTACTTAAAACTCATGTTTTTGTTTCGCAAATACATTTAATGTATTCATTGAAGTATCATGACACCAAATTTAACTCATTTTAACTTAATTCAACTATTTTATAGCGATATTGAAATATTTCGCCCATGGGCGAGAAAAAGGTTTGGCCCATGGGTAGGCCCATGGGTAGGCCCATGGGCGAGAATATGTTCCTTTACTTAAAACTCATGTTTTTGTTTCGCAAATACATTTAATGTATTCATTCAAGTACCATGACACCAAATTTAACTCATTTTAACTTAATTCAACGATTTTATAGCGATATTGAAATATTTCGCCCATGGGCGAGAAAAGGTTTGGCCCATGGGCAGGCCCATGGGCGAGAACATGTTCCTTAACTTAAAACTCATGTTTTTGTTTCGCAAATACATTAAATGTATTTATTCAAGTATCATGACACAATATTTAACTAATTTTTACTTAATTCAACTATTTTACGGCGTTATTAAAATATTTCGCCCATGTTTTCGTCAGTCCCTTTCAAGCATCAACTAACTGTTTGCAAAGTATATTGTATCATGTGAAATATACTTTATATTATATCATTACATTACTATTTAAAAAGGGCATTTGGTTGGATGTTTCCTTTAGTTCTACAAATTTCACCTGTTTTACATATTGTAGCAATCTTTAATGAACCCGGCCTTACCTCTCAAAACGTTTTGACAGTTTATCATACGAATTCATGTGCGTGTACTCCAATTCATTGGAGTTGTTTTCCACAACATTAAATTTTAGTTAGTTTATATTTCATTTCCCGTTTTATGTCCCGTTGATACATCACACTGGGCAATTACGTGACACTAGGTATGCAATATACAGGTACGCGTGCGCGTATTTTAATGAAAAAAACTATTCGTCTTTTATTGCATAACGTTTGGCTGAATATCTTACATTCTAACGAAATCTCGAAATAATTATTTAATTACATGCGGTTTCGAACTGACCAGTGGGAATTATGTTTTAATGCGATTGAGGAAAACGTGAGTGAATATTGTGACACTAAAGCAACTTTTAACTGCATTGTCACTTTTGGTATGAAAATGGTAACAGTTCAGAAAAAACAACAGCCTTCTTATGATAATTCTCATTAGTAAGTTGTATCTAATTACAGTGTCGGCCTTATTTACAGGTGATTCTACAATACCTGCTCTCGGTCAATTACGATCTACCACACCACGCGTGAATAAACAGTTCTGCAGGTGTTGCGGTGGGCAAATACCTAGCCTGAAAATGTTTATTTTTTTTTAGGATACATGTTTTACAAATGTTCGTTGATATGTGGATATATTAAGCACAAAGACAAAAAAATGTTTATGAAAGATGAATTAGTGCCTTGATATATTCATCGAGATGTGTATCATCGTTTAATGGGGTCATTCAATAAACGTATGTTTGGAGGAGATATCAAAGGAGCCGCCCAATATACACAGTGTCGTCCGGTGAACTACCAACCCACCCTGTCCATTAGAGTTATGTAATCGGTACACAAATATATTTGATGCGGTGTCAGTGCGGAAGGAGTTTGAATTACGTCCGCCACTTGCCACAGAAATCCTCAAAGTATAGAAACAATAAACAAGGTCAATCCGTACTAATTACCTAGTGACGCACGTAACAACGACTGTCAATAGGGAAAATGGTGAAAACAAATTGAAATAGATTTTAATAAAACATTATTGTACTAAATAACTCGCAAAAGCGGTGCCTAAAATTGTTTGACCGTGTTATGTGTGTTGTAAACTGACGAATAGCAAGTAATTGTCATGCTGTACGCATGGTTCCATATGCAAATTCAGTTATACAACCGGTATGAAACTGAGAACTGAGATACCAAGTACAACCTGCATTCACACACGGAAGCAATATACTTGTGTGTATGCCCTCTCCTCTACAAAATCTATCACTAAAGTATCTGCATTGTAATAAATATAGTAATGATAAAACTTGGTAATTTGGTAGGTCTCCTACAGATATGATTTTCATTTTTTTTACACCTTTGATTGATACGGATTACGTACCTGTAGTCTAGTCACTGTCTCTAATGTATCTGCTTGTTAGAAATTTCAAATGTCTTGTTGTAGCACTGTTCCTAAAATACGGCAGTTTCTTTTATCGGGTATAAATAGTTGATTCGTCTTGTCACGCAGTCATTTTTACTTGATCGAATGATTTCCACAAAAAAATTACGGCAGAGAGTTTTGTATTTTATTATATTTTTAGAAGATTTTAGAAGATGCTTACATCACTGTATCTCAGAACGTAAAACTGATAACATTCAAACATGTAATTAGTACACAGTTAATTGTTACATATAATTTCCTGCATATTCCTTTTTGAACAAAAAGCCTACATGTATACTGATATCGGTGTCCACTGTTAAAAGGGTATTAGTGCAGTCAGCCATGGTAAATAGAGAGACAATAATAAGGTGATTAATTATAGTCTGTTGCAGAATATGCGGTATAAGTGTAGTCATTGATACATATACACATTACACATATACAGATGAAATACACGATATGATGCAGTGCAAGAACAAATTAAGATACGGTTTCTATTAAAAATGATTATACGATTTTGGATTTAATTAGCATGTTTAAATTTTCAGGCCAACACGGCTGAGATACAGCATCGGCATACTCAACTGGAGTTGTGTTCTGCCGGTCGTAAGTTCATTGTTTGACTGAGCACACTCGTGTCGGGGTTGCGCTATTTTCTTCTCTTTGTTGGCAGCCTGCCACCGGTCTGAATTTTGAGAAAGGTCTCAGCATGGGACTGTTAATTACTTCTTAATGATGTCTATAAGCTTACAGAATCAGAATCAGTTTATTCTCAGAAACCACAAAAGGTGGTACAAGAGCATATTACAATAAATAATTATGCATATGTACAAAAAGCAGACAAGATGGCAATTAATAACAACATGTGATTACCTAGCATTTTTAATACTAATGGACATTTTTACAATGAATCTCGATAATTTTTTTAGATCCTGTGTGTTTGTTGTTGATAAGAGTTTTACAAATTTTATAATATTTGGCCATTCAGTATAATATGGTGAGAGAAATGTTCGCCTCTCTCTTTTAAAATAATTACATCTGAATAAGTAGTGAAATTCATCAGCAATAGATGGGGAATTACATAATTTACAAGTTCTATTTTCCTTGGGAATATTTTTCCATCGACCAGTCTCATTAGGTAAATTATGATTACAGGTTCGAAATCGTAGTATTGGAATTGCTATTCGTTTTGGCAATAGAAGATATTTATCGAGAACCGGAGTGTCCTTTAAATGTTTATAGTATAAGCCTTTAGAACTAGAATTAACGTCACTTCTCCATTTCTGAAAAAAGTGATCTTTAAGTATTTGCTCTACTTCTGACACTAGCCACTTTGTTGTGCAGATTGACGGATTGTTAAATACATAAGATAATCCAATACTGTCTAATATATTCACAACACATCTAACCCAGGGATTTGTTGATGCAACAGTCTTGTTCCCGTTAATTGACAGATATTGATATAACAGCTGTGAAAGTTTATACACTCCAGTTTGGTATGTTAATTTGTGCCAGAAAGATATCATTCGTTTAGAAATTATTATTCTTAATGGTAGCCTACCTAATTCGCCATATATCATATAACGAGGAGTTGAATTTCTTAATCCTGTGATAAGTCTGAGGAATTTGAGGTGTATTCTTTCTATAATTTCTAAATTTTCAAAGCCCCAGATTTCTGAACCATAAGTTAATATTGGTAATACCATCGTATCAAAAGCTGATAATACACAGTCCAAAGGTAAATTTAAATTTCTTGATTTTTTTATCAGGCAAAACATTGCTTTCAAAGCATTATCACTGAGGGACTTAAGACTTGATACTAGTTTTCTATTCCTGTGAAGTACAATTCCTAAATACGTATAAGTGTCGACAATATCTAGAGTTTTATCAGAATAGTGGAATTTATGTTTCGAATTTTTCGATG